AGCCACTCCCACCCGGTCACATGGCCGGCAAGCCACTCCCACCCGGTCACATGGCCAGCAAGCTACTCCCTCAAAGCAGGCCACACCCACAGAGAAGGTTCCAAAAAAATTTGAAACCCACCGCCGGAACAAAGTGACATGACCATTTTTCACACTTATGACTACTGCAGCATCCCCAGGGTCATGTGATTTACATTTGGATGCTTGACAACTGACACACATTTATGATGGTTTCAGTGTCCTGGGGTCATGTGACCACCTTTTTCAATCTTCTGACAAAGTAAAGACAATGGGGAAGCCAAGATTCACTTAACAATCATGTTATTAATTTAACAACTGCAGTGATTCACTTAACAAATGTGGCAAGAAAATCGTAACATGGGGAAAACTTATTTTTACAAATTTCTCACTTAACAATATAAATTTTGGGATTAACTGTGATTATAAATTGAGGATAAAGAACTCCCTAATCATACATGCATACTTTAATATTTTCCCTAGAGGTGTTATTTGAAGTTTCCAACTTTGTAGTATATTTATAGAACACAGAACAAAAGCCACTCTTCATTTAGCACTATCTTGTTTAGCAACTATTCACAAGCATGATGGTAATAACAATTATTTAAAAATCATTTTCCAACCAATGCAGGTACTTCCAATCAAATTTCTGCACTTGACAATCACGTGCACTGGAATGAGAATAATGTTGCATGAAAGAATTTTATCCAGATAGGATGGCAGTAATGAGTGATCTCTGCAGTCTATCTCTTTTTCCCCAAACCATTTTGCTTCCGATTTAAGGAATGGTCACTAAACATGGAGAAGGTATACTATTTGATAGGGATTTGGAGTCCTCCGAAAACAAACGATTTCTATAGCTACTCAGAGCTCTCATCTTTGTTTATTATGAGTTTATTAAATATTAATGATAGATATTTGCCACTGTAAAGTCTTTCTGATTTAAATGTAGGGTACAGGTTTTGATGGCTTCTTTGGAAAAAACTATTTTTGTGTAAAATTATATGGCATGTGTGCCCAGGTCCATGTCGCCCTCAAAGTTGTGTTTCTGCTATATCATTTCCTGTAATGGGGATACAGAATTGAATGATTGGGACTGCACATTCAGTTTCACTTTTTCAATGTCAATCCTGCTGCAACAAATTCAAGTCTGGCTTGGCTTAATGAATTATCAAATATTATGGCTTCAGAAATAAGTTGAATTTTGACCACTCCAAAGATTGTATTTTGAGAATTGAAGAAGAAAATCAGCTAATCAAAATCAGCTAATGAGGTTTGAGGTTTTATTCAACTTGTGTGCCACCCTATTCCCGAGGGACTCAGGGCGGCTAACAAAACCGAAGGGAAGGGGGGGGGGGGCAATACAAAAGGGAAGGCAACAAAAACAAACAACAATACAAAACCAATTTAAAAGGTCTCAACAAGCACACCAGTTC